TTTGCCCTTTATACCATCGCCTTCTCAGGTAGGATCGAAACGGTTCTGGGTTTTTTTAAACCAACAAAACATAAACCAATATATTGTCTTATTACATACTTACTAATAACAGTTACTACATTATGATCTATTTTTCTTTTGAAATATTGAAAAACGAAAGCAAAATCCAAAAAGGGTGTGTTTATATATATTTTCAATTATAGTATATCAATTCTATCTTTTTGTAATATGATGTATATGTACATGTAACTGTTCTGTTTCACTGTGTCTTGAATAAGGAGCGGATCGCTATCGCTCCGAAAATTTGACAACCTAAACTTGTCCACACTGTTGGAATTACTTCGTTGCCCCATATATATATGACTAATAATATATATAAATTATAAATAAGAAAATTGATCCTTACGGACGAAGAATTATTATAAAAAGAAAAATTCTTAACAACGTGTCTTTAGTACTTTCATCTCTTCAAGAAGATTCTTCAGACTCTATATATATAATATAATTGTTATAATATATATATATATAGTAGATAATAAATAAATAAGGAAAATATAGAATAAAAACAAAACAAAAATCAGATCGTCCGCTATATTTGAGATAAAGTGTATTGCTTCAATCATTACTCCGCAGTGTATCTTCTATTCAATAATGCGGTTCAAATGAAAATCATGCGGCGTTATCTTAATCAAACGCTCAAACTTGTTCTATATTTAAATAAAATTACTCAAAAATAATAGCATCGCATAGCATAGCGCCCAGCACAGCACAGCACAGCACAAACAAACATATAAAGAACCCTTCATACACAGAAACACCGAGGACACATACCAATTCACTATCAAAATATATTCCCAATTTTTGTTTCATTTACTCATACTACCTTATAATTAAATGTTCTTTTTCTCCGAACATTCTTTCCCAATCTCGTTTCCATCATTCATTTATGACACGATACGAATGTGATATTAAGAAAAATATTCGCCAATATTATTTGTCAACCACAAATTATTTGTGTACTCAATGTGTATATGTTTGTGAGAACAGACAATTGTTAATACAAATGATTCTTTCAACATATCTTGCGTTAGTCTTCCACACTTTCGTGAAAACATTTCGCACTATTTTTTTAGGGACTACCTTCGTCTACAACATTGTTGATTGGACAATATTTATAGCATTGCTTTCACTTCCACGATAACCTATCTGCGCAATAATTTCGATCTTAGTGCCCGCCACTGATCATGTATCATGGATCATGCAACTCCAATAGGAACGCTGCCGCGAACCCAACAGGAACACGGTATCGGACACTTGAGGACCGCGAGCGTGATCATGATCATGAGGTCACGGGGATGACGAACGTGACTTCCAGGGAAATCAGCCATTGCTTCATCCACCTCCACACAGGTGTGTGTGGTCTGAACTCATTATCCCTTAATCTATAGAGTTGATCAAATCTAATGATTTCATTTCATTTCATTTCAATTCAATTCAATTCAATTCAATTCAATTCAATTAGTTTTAGCCTTTTAGTTTACAGAAGTTCAGAAGGGTCATGCAATTTCAATACAATTGCAGAAAACAGGCAATAACAGAGTCTCTGGTCACATGTGAGTGAAACAAGACAAGACCAAAAGACCATTCGTCTTGTAATACGTTAGAGGTTAGGCACTCATAACATAATCCTCTTCTCTCATTTATCCTGATTCGAGAGTCACATCACTAATGTCAGCAAACCTTTATATGAACTACAATTCCTAATGTTATGCATGCACTCACTCACTCACGCACGCACGCACGCACGCACGCACGCACGCACGCACGCAATCAATCAATCAATCAATCAATCAATCAATCAATCAATCAATCAATCAATCAATTTAGAACGTATACCTTTTACATATACGCCTTTGTCGTTAAGATTTCACGACGTGTTTCTTAAGATTTTTTAAGAAACAGATTACAAACAGATAGAATGTAATAATAGATTAGCTTCATATAAGTTAACAGGCTCATACCTCGATCATTCACCAAAGGGATAACGTTAGTGCAGGCAAATTCGCCATGCACCCAAATTCGCCACTCTATGACGAAATACTATATGACGTCATAATACATATGATGTGATGTAAATAGCGTCTTCAACACAGTTAAAGCCTTCAAATATTTTGACAACAGGTATAGGAACGGAAAAGCTATACTTTTAATCAAAACAGTTATGAAATATCTTGTTACACAAAGAATCGGGGCGGGGGCGGGGCGATCGTTGAAAGCCCTGGACCCTCTCATCCTGACCCGATGAAAAGTATAATATTGGGCAGCGATTTGGAAGTTTATAATTGACATCATCTCAGCCGATACCCGTCATCTTTCTCAAACAACATTAATCAGTTTCTTCAAGTTACCTAACTAAAAACTATGTATTTCAATGTTAATCGTTGTTACACACACACATTTGGAGTGGTTCGCATTAGTACGGCTTGTGTAACATAAACATACAAAATTTCACATTTAAACACTTAGATTATTTGTAAATTAGTTCAATGTTTGAAGGTGGCGAAACTGCCTGCACCTTTGAGCAAAACCACGGAAGGCTTGATGACGTTACAAATGTTGCTGCGTGACGTCATTCAGGCGTGATTACAACAATGTTTATTTGTAGGCATTTCAGGCAAATCTTCTTCTGTACTGGTGCTCGTCGGCATTTTGATACATGCTTCGTCGAATCACGGAATTAGAATAGATTATCTAAGTCCGTGGTCGAATTATTAACAGAAACCCTTACTAATGTGAAGAATTTGCCTTCACTGACGTTAGGGATCGAGTATCAAATTGTAAAAACTGAGATATCTCCACTTATATAAACAAAAAAAGGCCTAGGCTAATGTCAAGACACCATTGTAACGCATTACGTGTGACTTTTAACGCGTTAAATGCACGTCTACCGTGTTAAAAGGGCAGTTCTAACGCGTTTTTTTTAACGCGTTACTAGCTGTATATCGTTTTTGCCCCGAACCCCACCCATACTGGCCATAGTCGACCAGATCGATTTTGAGTTTTTGGATCGTGAAAAAACTTTGATCTAATTCCGTGAAAAAAAATCAACTGATATGATATGATATGATATGATATTCATAACTTTAAAATATACAATAGACCCCCCAACCACGTACGCTATCTAAGTCCGTGCCCCAACTTACTAGACATCCTGGAGCCACGGTACGGTACAGTGTCAGTAACACAACCGGTTAAAAATAAAGAACTTGAGCAAGACTAATACAATTGGTTTCGTAAAAGGGAAAAAATGATATTCCAATGCCTATTCATATTCATTAAGAAATATCCAATTAATATTAAAACTACTAAGATATAGTACCACCTGAAAATTTAGGAGTACAGATGTTTAATTTGATTATCAAAACAGGAACACTGAAATACGAAGATAAAACTGCGCGATTGCATTGTTGATAGCGGGAAATCGAAATGCAGAAAAGGCCATCAGAATCATGACTGAGTAATTGACAACCGCGTGTAGTCTTTCAGAACGATTGGTGAGTATTTCTTAACGTCATAATTGTGATAATTTATTTTTGATAGTTTTCAGAAGGCATAGCTCTATCTTATCCTAGCTAACTGTAATGGTTCAGTTACTTTTACTTCAGTTTCACTCGTGCCGCCGTTCACTGTTCACTGTTGTAACAGCAGGTTTTGACACTTGGGCAGCGACCAATCTTCAATTACTTACAGTTAGTTTGTATGGATCTTTTTCTACTGTTTGGTTAACACATATGGGTCCCAGCATGTTAAATTTCAGTATTTTCATAAATTTTATGGGTCAAATAACAATTCTATGAGTACTGGACTCTCATGCAGATTTATCACTGCTTGAATTAGGCCTTTTTTTTTCCAGGGAGCACCCGCGCTAAAAATCTATGTGCCCTGATGACAAAGATTTTGTTCATCGACGGATGTAATGGCTTCCATCTGAATTTTACAAATCTTCCCAATTTCAATACAAATAGTGCTATCTTTTCCAAATTCATGAAGGAACAGACTGTTGTAAAATATAGGTAAAAAACATGGGCATTTTTATATCTCTGATATAACATAGCTTTGAGATATTTTTTATGCATCATAATTGCGTCATCAGACCTACGAAGCGGTCCTCCTATGTAAACTAATGGAGCAAAACCAAAGTGCTAATCAGTAAGATAACGTCCCAGTAGGCGACGCATATATGTTGAATTATTCCAGGGGTGCAGACAGCGTACGTAAGCGTACTAAACCCAGGATTTTTGAGGAAGGATGAGGTCCTACAGCCACAGAACGGCTTTCAGACAACTTACAAACTAGGTTGTGATAAAGCGATATATAAGAACCTCAAATTATTATTATTATTATTATTATTAACCTTGGTTAACAGTCACATCCCACTTGATTTTTAGCCCACCATCATCTGATGGTGGGCTATTCAAATCACCCTTGGTCCGTGGTCCGTCCGTAAACAATTCTTGTTCTCGGTATTTCTCAAGAAGTACCAGAGGGATCTTTCTCAAATTTTATATCAGGTTCCCCTTGGTCCTTAGCTGTAGCTGTGCAGGGCAGCTTTTGAGAATTAATCGGATAAACAACATGGCCCGACAGGCAGCCATCTTGGATTTTGATAGTGAAAGTTTGTTATCGCTATTTCTCGTGAAGTACGGGAGGGATCTTTCTCAAATTTTAAATGTAGGTTCCCCTTGTTTCCTCGTTGTGTATGTTATATTTTGAGACTGATCATAAAAACAAAATGGATTAAAAGAACTAAACAGATCTTTCTCATATTGCAATGATCGATTCTATTTCTTTCACATTAAGTACTGTACTAGTAAATATGTGAAATGACAAACTCACTTTGACAGTTGGCTTTCATACACATCAGTATTAAGTTAGATCAAAAGTTACCTCAAGGTGCATTTACTGTTAACATGACTCAATCAAACAGATTAGAGGAAAGAAGAGAAAAGATCGAACTGACAAAGAACTAATGAAGATGGTACAAAGGTGGGCGCCAAGATCCCTTTGGGATCTCTTGTTTACTGCTTTTAATTACCATTTTTTTTAGGTCACCTAAGACAAAGTCTCTAGTGAAGTGACCTATTGCGATCGCCTTTTGTCCGCCGTCCGTCCGTAAACAATTTTCATTTTCGACTTCTTCTCCAAAACCCCTGAACCAATTTCAATAAAATCTTGCAGGGACCTTGCATGGACAAAGGTCAACAAAAGTAGTGGCCGGTTTAGTCCCAAGCCCCCAGGGGCCTGAGGGGCGGGGCCAAAAAGGGTCAAATTGACCAAAATTTCAAAAATCTTCTCCTCAAGACCCAGATAGGGTAGAATCAAATACTCTTCATAGATGGAAGGGTCTTAAGGTTTATGACCCTAGGGTCTCACATTAACCCCCTAGGGAAGGAGGGGGGGGGGGGCAAAATTTGTTATGTTTTATAGTTTGAATTGACAGTTTTGATACTTTGAAAATTTTGAGCCAGCCCTACCCCCAAGGGCTGTAGCGTGGGGCTCAAAGGAGTCGAGTCAGTGTGCTAAAATTTCTTCATTTTCCTTGTTTAGAATCAGAGGTGCTAGTTTCAAATCCTTTTTAGTCTGAACTCTGTATGCTAGATATTGAATAAGGTGGTTTTATTGTTTTTTGTCACTTTGAATAATATTTCTGTTCTTGTTAAAAATGTTAAAAACAAAATCAACTCTCTGTATAAATATATCAGGTGACCGTTAAGGCCCATGGGCCTCTTGTTTCTTTTAAATGTTGATTGCTATATCTCCGGACCATATGTTGGGTTTTCCCTAAAATTCTTTAAAATATCAATAAATCTCGCATCTTGGTTACAAAAAAACAATATGAGGCTTCAGACAACATAAAAGATATAAAACTATGTTATATGCAGTATTATTTTGGTTTTAAATGTCTCACAGATTTCTAACTAATTTCAGAGAAAAAGTAAAATCTCGCTAAAAAAATGCACTATTTTGTACCGGAAACTTATGGCATGTATGGTAGAGTTTAACTGCAAGTTATATATAAATAGCAGATCAACAGTAATAGATCATATTACAAACCTATTTATGGATGAGCAATGTGCTTTCAATTTATTCTAAAATCACACTGGGCTTGCTCCATTACAAGGCTTGGGATCGTATAAATACCCTGCCGGGGAAGAGGGGAAGAGGGGAAGAGGTTGGGTATTAATATTAGTACTAGCATTCAACATACATGTGACTTCAAACACATTGTAGGCAGAGTTTCTTTTCTTTAATAATTACCAATTTTCACCATAATTTCAGGGAAAAGAACACCATGTTTGTTTTTCAAATCATTATTAACCAATCAAAAACAATGGTGGGGGCTTCGCAAAAAAATAGATACAGTACAGATATCAAGCTAATTAATTATCCAACAAATATGACAGTTATTCTACTAATCATATAAGTTGAACATTATTATCAATCAGTCAAAAACATTGTGGTAAATGTAGATGAATGAAGTTGACGAAATCCACTTATCTGACTTTTTTAAAAGTCATAAATAATAGAAGTCAGTCATAATTTTATTTTTGTGCTGATGTTTTTTAGCTTGTAAAGCTTATAAGACATAGGTATTGCTTAAAAATGCTTGAAGATAGTTCTTATGTTAAATGTACATGTAGACTTATGATCTTCAGGGAAACTGTCCAGGTCAACTACAATATATCTATGATTTGAAGGGACTATTTATAAACATGCACAGGGTGAGGAAGGGCATGTAGCTCAAGGTTTTGAAAAATAATAATAATTTAGACACATAGGGCTGAGATCACTCACCCATATCTAAGTTATGGTGAAATGTTATCATTAAACTACATTAAACACCCATTTCAAGCTTTGTCTAACAGCACCAGGAGACATAATAAGTATTACCAGGTATATACATTTATGAATATCCTGACTTATTTTCAGACAGAAAAGCTCAAATACAATTGTGAGGCAGTGTATTCGAACTTAACGGTAGACCCAGACAATTACCATGAAAAACACGTACACTTTTAGGTCAGTGGGAATAGACCAAGTTCAGTGGGAATAGACCAAGTTGTATGTTACTTTATTTTCTCTTGTGTGTATGATTCAGTGACAAATATTGAAACCATACATGGAAAATAAGATCTATCTATATATTTATATTTCTTCTGTTGTTATTATTACACATATTCAAAGCATATTGTCTATATGGTTCAGTATTCAGAGTAACATGAGTGCATCAAAAACCAAAGATACATAGCTATACATATAATGTATAGAGGGAGGAGGGTTCAAGTGGTGGGCAATTGATCCCTCAGTAGATGTTGATTTTACAGAATTTTAATCAAACTTCGTCTTCCAGTGGAAGACTAGTTTCATTTTCCAATTCTGTAAAATCAACCTACTGAGGGACCCCTTTAGTATAATACACAAAGGATCAGTCACTTCATCACTAATTGGTTACAGGGGAGTGGCACACATCCCCACCACTAGTGCCTTTTAAAACAAACGGGAGTTTGACTTTGAGTCCTTGTTCTTCTTAAATTTTACAACTGCCCATTCCTACATGAATAGGTTCCACAATTTTTCTTCATTTTGGAAAATACCACACTGTTTGGCTAGGGAGCAGCCTGTATTCACATGTAAAACTAGGCAAAATGATTATTAATATAACATCCAACAGTACACACATTTTGTCTGTGGGTTGGGGATCTGTGCCTTGCCCCTTTGGTATTGATTTAAGTTCATATCTACTAGGCCTGTCTGGTTACCAGCGCACAAGAAACTGTAAAAAGCAGTTTTCTAAAGACTTTTTCAATAAACAATATGTGATCATAACAGTATAGTTTCTTTTGTTTGTTTGTTTATGTTTAATGGACCATCGACGGCTGTGGTTATGTTTAATGGACCATCGACGGCTGTGGTCATTTAGGTCCATGGTGATTTATTTATTTATTTATATTTTTAGTAGCGCAATACAAACTCAGATAAAAATGTTCATTTTAAAAGCATTCGCATTGTATGTGTAAATAATTCCAAATAAAAAGAGGGTTGAAATAATAAAAGAGATAACGAATAGATTATATGGACTATGTGATATATATTACGTCATAAAGGGTAAGGTGGGTCAAAAGACATCAGAGTCTATAGAATCAGAGTATAGACCTATGTCTTTCAAATAGTTAAATAATGACTTTTAGTACACCGAACTGAAAAGAGTTTTCGTATCAGGGGCTCGAAAGATGTTATCGCGAATTTGTTTAAAATCGGAACATTCTATTAAAAAATGTTCCACTGTAAATGGAGTGTCACATGCGTGGCATGAAGGTGGATATTCTCCTTTTAAAAGATACGAATGAGTAGGATATGTGTGCCCGGTACGGAGCCGAGCGAGGACAACTTCCTCGCTACGATCTTTCCGACTTGGAATAGATGTTTTAAGTTTCGGTTGTATTTTAAAAAGTTTCTACTTTGGGTAGAGGACATGAAAGACTATTTGGATGTGTCACAGGTGAAGTATTTGTCATACAACAGTGTCACACAGATGTGTGTCTCGCAACACTATACGAAAAGCAAATTCCGATTCTGAAATTTCGATTCTGAAAGATGAGTTTTCACTACAAGCAGATAAAAGCGCAGATCAGGCACACACAAGTCAACTAAGCAAATGACGGGATCGTCTCTGTGTCCACAAGACTGTGTAGCTTCCTTGAATGCAATGTTTTCAGTGAAGTATTTTGAATTATGCGACATGGTGTTGAACCGGATGTCACCCTCGAATTAAAGCAGCTGTCAATTTGACGCTTGAAATTCCGATGACCGTATCCGGTATCAAACGATATCATGACCTAGATTTAAATCATCGCATTTGACTTCTCTCCCCTTTACAACAATAAGCAAACAAAGACTAAATTAACAGGTATTTTATTTGGGAAAATATGTTTTTATTTTGGGAACATACATAATTTTCAGACTAGGGGAAGCAGCCGTTAGATCGGTCCAAAAATACCCATGGGAATGTAGTCATGATATAAGAATAGACCCCAGGGTCTGCCCCACCCTTAGAGACTTAACCCCTGGGTCATAACTTTGAAACGGCTAAGATCCCCACCCCAAAACTGTATATACAATTGTTGGGCATAAAGAGACGAATGCAGTCATAAAATTATAATTGATTGTGGGGTCTGGCCACAACCCTAGGTACAACCCTAGGGACATAATTTCTGAATCACGCCTTGTAAACAGTTGAGATCCCCACCCCATAACCATACATAAAATTGCTAGGCATGAAAAATTTAATACAGATATAATACAAGGATTGGCTTTGGAGTCTGGCCCATTCCCTTGGATCTTATTTGGAGAATATTTTGCCGTGATTACTTTGGATATCCCGGTGAGCGATTCAGGCCCTTTGGGCCTCTTGTTAAATGATGTGAACCAGTTTTACAGTTCAATAAAGGGACTATTGCCGTATATTTCATACCAAGGAAACAGGAAAATTAGTGCTATAAATGCTTAAACCGGCCGAAAATAAAGAGATTTGCGTGGCCGCCGCACTGTCAACTTTGTTGTGTATGGACACCTTTTATGGGATTGAAACTCTGTTACCCTCCAAGTCTCTCAGATACAAATACATGTAGTAAACACTAATCGTTATTTTAACTGTTGTATTATTGGGATTGAAACTCAGTTTTCTCGGCTGCTGTTTGTATACTGTTCCCCTCCAAGTCTCTCAGATACAAATACATGTAGTAAACACTAATCGTTATTTTAACTGTTGTATTATTGGGATTGAAACTCTGTTTTCTCGGCTGCTGTTTGTATACTGTTAACCTCCAAGTCTCTCAGATACAAATACATGTAGTGAACACTAATCGTTGTGTTAACTGTTGTATTATTGGGATTGAAACTCTGTTTTCTCGGCTGCTGTTTGTATACTGGTACCCTCCAAGTCTCTCAGATACAAATACATGTATTAAACACTAATCGTTGTGTTAACTGTTGTATTATTGGGATTGAAACTCTGTTTTCTCGTCTGCTGTTTGTATACTGTTACCCTCCAAGTCTCTCGGCTACAAATACATGTAGTAAACACTAATCGTTGTGTTAACTGTTGTATTATTGGGATTGAAACTCTGTTTTCTCGGCTGCTGTTTGTATACTGGTACCCTCCAAGTCTCTCAGATACAAATACATGTAGTGAACACTAATCGTTGTGTTAACTGTTGTATTATTCGGATTGAAACTCTGTTTCCAGGCTGCTGTTTGTATACTGTTCCCCTCCAAGTCTCTCGGATACAAATACATGTAGTAAACACTAATCGGTGTGTTAACTGTTGTATTATTGGGATTGAAACTCAGTTTTCTCGGCTGCTGTTTGTATACTGTTACCCTCCAAGTCCCTCGGATACAAATACATGTAGTAAACACTAATCGTTATTTTAACTGTTGTATTATTGGGATTGAAACTCTGTTTTCTCGGCTGCTGTTTGTATACTGTTAACCTCCAAGTCTCTCAGATACAAATACATGTAGTGAACACTAATCGTTGTGTTAACTGTTGTATTATTGGGATTGAAACTCTGTTTTCTCGGCTGCTGTTTGTATACTGTTAACCTCCAAGTCTCTCAGATACAAATACATGTAGTGAACACTAATCGTTGTGTTAACTGTTGTATTATTGGGATTGAAACTCAGTTTTCTCGGCTGCTGTTTGTATACTGTTCCCCTCCAAGTCTCTCAGATACAAATACATGTAGTAAACACTAATCGTTGTGTTAACTGTTGTATTAGTATTATTGGGATTGAAACTCTGTTTCCAGGCTGCTGTTTGTATACTGTTACCCTCCAAGTCTCTCAGATACAAATACATGTATTAAACACTAATCGTTGTGTTAACTGTTGTATTAGTTCTCAAGGGTTAACATAGACTTGTGCCTAGCTCAATGGTCTGATCTGGGACTGCCAAATAACATAGATACAGTGTAATATCATATCACAACATTATCAGGTGCAAATAGGCAGGCAATACAGTTCAGCATCCCCTGACCCCGACAGGTCATATACTAAGCCTTAGCTGACATAAGATAATTAAATTTTATGGCCAGCATCGGTGCACTGACAGCCAGCAATTAATTTTATACCTTTAAACTACCGGACAACAGGAAACTCGTTAATTGAACAACTACACTTGGTCATTTTTTTTTTTATCTCAACAAGACTGTCGATCAAGGTCCGATCAAGATCTGTCACATGACAATTTCCTGTCGCAGCAAAAATGGAAACCGAGGTGTATACACGTGTGTCAGGTTTTACACCTTGTCTCTCCTGTCTTATGCACATGTATGTCATTGCAATATAATATTATTTTATCATACAATAAACCAGATTGATTGTAATTCAGTTATTATGGATGATTATCGTATTTTAAGCCAAGTAGTGTTTATAGTTCACGTCATCGCTGGCAACGATTATATCTTAATTATTGAATCCACTTTTTTAAGTTTAATTTCAGAATGTGACTAAACACCTTAGTCTGGCTTTCGCTACTTTGTCGCGGGAGACAAAAATGTTTTGTATGTAAAATTATGAGTTTTTAACGGTGATATTCAACTTTATAGTCGCTTTCATTTTCCTCAGATCGTATATTCCAACCTAGGGTGGGGGTAAATTTGTCACATCGCAACAACAAATAAAAGTGTTACAATTGACCATTTATTAATTATTTATTTTACAGTAATCATGGGGATTCAGGGACTGCTACCATTCTTGAAGAAAATTCACTCCCCTGTGAACGTGGCCAAGTTTGAAGGTTGCACGGTAGCTATAGATGCCTACTGTTGGCTGCACAAGGGGGCCTTTGCCTGTGCTGACAAACTAGCACTCGGGGAGAAAACTGATGTGTGAGTATATAGACAATCACAATGAAAAACGCTGACATTTACATTGGAGACCACGTTATCTAATCTGTGATGTTATTTCATATAATGTGTATAATTCTCACACTAGTATAGAGATTAGAGAGTAAAAGGGTTTTGTAACATTCCTTTTCTTTATCATTACACATGTTTTCTAATTTTCTTATCAAAATTTCAGGGAAGTCTATAGCTAATCAATGTTACATATAGCTGCGGGAACCGTAGCTTCTAGGCCCGAATTTTTTATTATTAAAAATCAGGCCTAGAAGCTACGATTCCCGCAGCTTTGTTACCTAGACCTTTGTCTGTGTTTATTCTACTGTACAGTAAATATCTAAGACTGTACAGTTTTAGACCAGAGGAGGGCCTCCAGTTCTAATGAGTAAGGGGCGTGTTGGACCAGTAGCATCTGGCCCAGTGGGTGAGCTTATCATTTACCCTGACCATGATATGTGTGTCCACTGTTGACTGAGGCAGAGACAATGATTTCTGTGTGCTGGAAATAGGGCATCAATGTAATTCCATCTTTTACACAGTGAGGAACATCTTTCTTAATAAGTCATATTAAATATGTGTACAGAAGTTGCAAAAGATGCTAGCTGTGCCAACACAGAGACATGCTGGTATGTGGGAGAAGAAAATTATAGGTGATCGCTCAAGTGTGACACAGGTAAACTGGGCTCAACACTCACAGAGGAACAGGGGTCACTGTTTGTTGCTTAATCATATAAAAGCCTGTTTGGTGCCTGGGGATACACTGCTGAAACGAAAGTCTAGCTACCAAGTGTTGCAACGGGACAGCAAATCATCTTTTTCTTAAAGGTGCCTTTATTATAGCAGACACAAAAGATAATATGTTAACATATCACACAAATATGTTAACATATCACACATTATTGGCCGGTAATATGCTAACATGCAGTGGGATCCTGTAAGGGTATCACACATTATTGGCCGGTAATATGTTAACATGCAGTGGGATCCTGTAAGGGTATCACACATTATTTGCCAGTAATATGCTAACATGCAGTGGGATCCTGTAAGGGTATCACACATTATTGGCCAGTAATATGTTAACATGCAGTGGGATCCTGTAAGGGTGTCGCACATTATTGGCCGGTAACATGTTACATGCAGTGGGATCCTGTAAGGGTAAAAAGCTGTTAGATCCATATATATAACAGTTTAAACTGAAGAAAACAGAACAGGCTTCTGCCTCCAGCACATTTGTATGTTAGCCAGGTGGTATAGGACCTGTACAAACTGAAACACCAAATAGGTCAGCTCCTATGATATCCTCGGCTTATTGAGTGGTTTTGACAGTAGTCATTGATTGTATGATTGTTTATGTATTGTAATATTGCCTTAAGGTTAGAGTGGTTTTATTTTTCATATCAAATAATGATAATAATAAATACAACTGAACAGGTGGACATAAACATAGATTTAGGAATCTGACTGTAATTGAGCAGGTACAAGTTTCCTCAGAAATAGTGTTATAGTTTCCTCTTGTGCTAGGAAGTTCACACCTGCAGGCGGGGGATCGGGAAAAGAATACATCTGTCTGCTGCTACCCATTGTACATGTCGTAGGAGGCGACTATTGTACGAACCCCCTGCATAATTAGGGATTTGCTTTGGTGTCCTCTATTTGGGGACACAAAAGCAACCAAAATAAATTTGCTGTGCCCATTGCAATATTTGGGATCTTTATCTTTCTTTCTACTTCTAACTACCTTTTATTTCCTAGCGCCTTGCTTGGCAACAGTTCACTTTTGGCTTTAATGTTGAGCATTCGCCCAGGTGAGGAAGGCAATGGGTCTGGACATACCAAAGTCCTTAAAAATGGTAGTTGTAACTTGTTATTCCCTGCTTAACGTTCAGCATTTAGGGCAATGGCAACAACTGGTTCACCTGTTGTCAGTATTATAATGTGACCTGCCGGAATGCTGTGCTGGGTGCCATCAGCATTTCAGTGAGATATCACTATAAAGTTGGCATCAGATCCACAAAACAACCAACATACCCTGTCTCCTGCATACACACAAGCAAGCACGCATACACTACACACATGGAGGGACGTCCTTAAATGACCTTAGCTGTTAATAGGACGTTAAACAAAATAAAACCAAACCAGCAAGGAAATTATAATGGTTGATTATTGGTGATAAACAAGAACCAGGGATCGTAGTACAGAAACAATATAGGGTATGCACCAGCTGGACAGACTTAAAAGAGAATCAGTTTTGTTACATGCTTAAATTTGCCATTGTATTTATTATTTCAGTTTCGTTCACTACTGCATGAAGTACCTGGAATACATGTTGAGAAAGAATGTCAAACCTATCATGGTGTTCGATGGATGTCGCTTGCCGTCAAAAAAGGATGTGGAAAAATCACGCAGAGAGTAAGAATCTTTCCATTATTTGTGTAAGCATCACAGGGCTTTCAAAGGTGATGACGTCGTATACTAAAATGTTGGGTGCCATATCTGTAATTCTAGCTTCTGAATGGTTGAAGTTGCTTGGCGATGAAATTACTGCGCTGACATTGCCATCTGTTCCTTTTCTAATAAAATGGTTATTCATTAGCATGATCAGTGGACACAAATTTCATTTCCAAACATAATTGATATATACATGTGTTCAATAAGACCCCTATTGCAGTATTGGTGATGACGTCACAACATTGTATCATTAGCTTTAGCCTTGCCCAAATGTATTGTTGTCTCAACATCATAGAAATTCATCATGTTTTCTGGTTAACTTAAATTGAGGATAACTCCAATTTGTCAGTTTATACTATAAATACTACCTGATAAAAATATTTTCTTAGACAAAGTTGAGTGTATACTGTAAATACTACCTGATAAAAATATTTTCTTAGACAAAGTTGAGTGTATACTGTAAATACTACCCAATAAGAATATTTTCTTAGACAAATTTAGTGTATACTGTAAATACTACCCGATAAAAATATTTTCTTAGACAAAGTTGAGTGTATACTGTAAATACTACCTGATAAAAATATTTTCTTAGACAAAGTTGAGTGTATACTGTAAATACTACCCAATAAGAATATTTTCTTAGACAAATTTAGTGTATACTGTAAATACTACCCGATAAAAATATTTTCTTAGACAAAGTTGAGTGTATACTGTAAATACTACCTGATAAAAATATTTTCTTAGACAAAGATGAGTGTATACTGTAAATACTACCTGATAAGAAAATTTTCTTAGACAAAGTTTAGTGTATACTGTAAATACTACCTGATAAAAATATTTTCTTGGACAAAGTTGAGTGTATACTGTAAATACTAAATGATAAAAATATTTTCTTCAACAAAGTTGTTGTTATTACATTTCAAACTAAACAACATTAATTGAAATTCTATTCTGTTTCAGGAAGCGTGAAATGTACAGGAAGAAAGCAGCCCAAATGCTGAGGGAAGGGAAGCGTGCTGAGGCCAGAGAATGCCTTCAGCGATGTATAGACATCAGCCCGGAGATGGCCTTAGAAGTGATGAATGTGAGTGTACATGGTCACTCAAAGAATTTCTTGTGGTCAACCCAACTTTTTCAGCACCAGACTTTACAAGGAATATTGAGACTCAAGTTCTAATTGTACATATTTAAAAACATAAATGTATGTTATAGTGGACTAGACAACACAGGGACCATAGCATTGGGCGTTTGTAGAGAGTTCGGGGTGGTCTGCTTAGACATCATTTCTTGATGTAATGATAATTAAGAATACATATGTGAAAGCTGTATTTTTTGTATACAAAGAATTTGTACTCGGACATGTTCTTTAATTAAAAAAGCTGTACCTATAAGAAAAGTTAAGATTCCTTAAACAAATAATCATTTCATTCACCATCACTCAAAGGAGCAGAACAACTGATTTGTACAAACACATAACATGTCAGTAGTATAAAATTAGATTATCTGACAAAATTAATGTCTTATTACTGGTATATGAAGTAAAAGCTGTGTATTTAATACACGCATTAGATCAGAATGGTTTCCAATGCTGGTTTACCTAGCGTAGATTGACTAGTGTGTAGAAGGCATGGGACCAGGAAACAGGGCTGATGTACAGAATACACAGTTCGGATTAGCATGAGTTTAATTACTAGAGTTAAAGAAGGATTTTCTTGGGACCAAAAGATTAGCCAGCTTAGACAAAGATCTGGAATGGGCAGAGTCCTCTTCACAAACATTTTTATGAAACATTGATTTTCATTTAAAAAAACCCAACATTAACTGTGAATTGAAAATGTTTTGTTTATAATAGCTGATTTATTAGAGATAATGTTGCTCTTATATCACATTCTGACAGATTTGCTTAACTGTGTGAAGGATTGACAGATTTCCGTTTTACTTTGTAACAGACATGTCGAGCGGGGGGGATTGACAGATTTATGTTTCACTTTGTGACAGACATGTCGAGCGCGGGGGATTGAGAGATTTATGTTTTACTTTGTGACAGACATGTTGAGCGCGGGGGATTGAGAGATTTACGTTTTACTTTGTGACAGACATGTCGAGCGCGGGGGATCGACTGTATTGTGGCTCCCTATGAAGCCGACGCCCAGCTGGCCTTCCTGTGTAAACAAGGCATTGCTCAGGCTATCATCACAGAGGACTCGGATCTCCTTCTTTTTGGCTGTAAACAGGTATTACATAAATAAATTATCAAATCTGTCAATATCATTTTTAGAATGTCTAACAATCTTAATGAATTCTAATGAAGAACTGTCCTTAATACTAAATTCACCTGCAGCCAAGTTCAAAACTACCTTCTCAGATGTGTGGGACTAGAAAAAGGTCATTGTTAGATTTTGTTTAGAATTTATGATTTTTGTCTGATTTTCCTCCCAAAATTTCTGTCTCGTAAAAACACTGTTTTGCAATGGATTAGTAAAACTAATACATTTACCAGGTATATATATACACTAATATCAAGATGTTTCATCAAAGTTCAGAATTCACATAAGACTGAGTAATCAAAAGTAAAATGTTAAACAAACCACAGTTATATGTTATGTAATGTTTATATGCATGTAATGTTATGTAGTATATGTGTGTTCAGTGTATTTTTGCTAAAATTAATATGAAATGTTTACACAATGCAATTCTATCAATGATACATATAGGAAAATAATGTTAATAAGAATATTTTTGTTATCAGGTCATATTCAAGATGGACCACTTCGGTAATGGAGTGTTAATTGAAAGTAACCGTTTAAATGAAGTACTGGGGATATCTGAGGGCTACTACACCTTTGAGAAGTTTCGTTACATGTGTATCATGTCTGGTTGTGATTACTTACCCTCTCTGCCAGGAATAGGACTCGGGAAGGCTAGCAAGGTGTTCAAGCTGGCTAGACAGACAGACTTACAGCTGGTAAGTTCACAGTTATAAGAACTGTAAGTATCAATTTTAGGTACCTTCATATATACATTTGTGTTTTGGAGGGGAAAAAGCCAGTCTACAAATACATCATGAAAGTCAAAGTTCACTGTCTCCAGATACAGTCAAGCACCTTGTAAAATGTATTCACTGTTCCTAGGTTTCAGAACATATTATATATTCAACATAATTAAATGAGAAATTAAACACTTAATAACAGTATTTGGTTTGATGTTAAATTTGGGTTTTAGTAAAATAAAAACAAACAAATCCATCACTATCAGTCAGTGTAAGGGAGATAATTTACCTGGTAAAATGTCACATTCGGTAGTCAAAGGGGAGATAATTTCCCATTGGGATCAACATCCATTTCTATATACATGTGTAGATTTTGTCAACAGATCAAAATTCTTTGCCTTCTTTATTTCACAATAATAACAGCTTTATTGAGATTTTATTTAAATGAAATGAAAATATCATGCATTCTTCCAAGGCTAGCAAAATCACAGCTTTTTGAACAATGGTACATTAATACAGTCTTGTTTCTAAGTACTTTTATTAGTAACTATTGCATGAGACTATAAACTACTTCCTGGTGAATACTTGATGAAGTATTTGCTAAGATTATTTATTATAACATTGAAATATAAAGTCTAATAGTGACAGGAAGAGTCATAATCTGTGCTATTTTGATTCCACATGTCCTTTATCTCTCATTACATGAAAACACAATTTCAGAGATTGTGGAATTAATGGTCTTAGTATGGTAGTGTCTTTCCTAGTTTTAGTGTTGAGTTTACACATTCACTTTATCTTGTAAATCAGGAATATTACCTGTATACAGTATCTCAATGCACCATTGGATCCCTATCAGATTACAAAAAAACTTACGTTACAATATCAGCTGAATAACAAATAAAAAAGTTTTGCAGAAACTGTATTTGTTTATAATGAACTGAAGAGAAATAGTGGAGGCAGTACAACCCAGGATAGTTAGGGATAGAACAGATAACGTTTTGTGCTAAATCCCAAGAATTGTGTCCTTATGGAACTTAATTTAAGTAATTGCTTACTTGTTCTTTATTCCAGTTGCTGAAGAAGTTCCCGTCCACCTACCTCAAGATGTCCCTGAGTGTTCCACAGGAGTACATTGACAACTTCATTAAGGCTGACAACACGTTTCTTTACCAGCTGGTGTTTAACCCCTTGAGGAGGGAACTGGTTCCCCTCAACCCGTACCCTCCTGAGATCAGCAGTGACCAACTTGACTATGCAGGGCCGTATCTTTTTTAACATGACACCATACAGACAAAACCACCTTCAAAAGTAGCACATAGTCTCTGTGTATTAGTATATTAATTTTCTAGTGTTCAAATTAAAAAAAAATCAACTTTATTTGTAAAATTCTGCAGTTATTCTGTAAAACATTGCAAGTTACTGAAATACTGGGGTAGTTGATTTTGACCTATGTAAAATGTATGTATGCGAACATGATTCATGATCGATTGACCCTTGACCTTTCCTAGTTACATTCGCGGTGACAAGGCACTGCATATTGCATTGGGGAACATCAATATCTACACCATGCAAATGTTTGCCAACTTCGATCCTGATACTTACGTGGTAGGTATGAAACAGTGACTAGAATCTTTATCCTGCTGGTTTTAATTTGACTGATTACTCAGAGATAAAAGTTGAAAAATACCTCATTGTATATCTCTTTCAGAACAGTCCCAGGAAACACACAAATCTAGACAAAGTTGCATTTGAAAACTGATGTTTGAATGTGATTAATTACAAGTTATAAAATGGATTTTAAAATCTGATCAAAGTTAAAAAGTCTGAATTCTTTTCTGGGATGAATTGAAGTGAAAAGAGTTAATATTTGTTTTATTTGATTTGATTAGATATTACTTGAGTTATTGCCATTGTCAAGTCCAGGAGACAAGTGGAATTGACAAACAGTGTTAATTGGAAGTACATGTTTACCACACGGGACCTTGTCCTTATTAAGGGCAATATCAGTTATGACAGAAAATTAAAATTTTGCCAGTTTGCTTTAGAGATCATGTTTACCTAGATATCAGTTGTTAACTTGTTCTTATAGTCAAAACTCAATAGATGTTCATTGATATTCTACTATTTTACAGTAAATTAAGGGACAAATCCTAAAAACTATTTTCATTTGGGACACTTGTATTGATTGTATTAGTAGGGTCAAGTTCAGATCTGTCTACCATCCATAAAGTTTTGTGGTTTGGGTGTTAGAAAAAAGGCCTCCTGACCCCATATGTGATTAATTCCGGAACAACTCTGAAATATCTGTTGATTTTGTTTGTGACATACTGTATACCTGGAAACATGTGCGCAGTCAAATTTCTCCCTTTTTCCGATAAAACCCATGTTCGCCCAGTGTTAATTTCGCCCTTCAAATGCAATTCTATATTTTTCATGTTGCGTACTTAAATTCGCCCTCATTGAGGAGGACAAAAAAGGTATACAGTATATGATTTACATAGTCTTCTTTCATATTCTACAACCATTCTTTAAGCTTGATGAGTTGTGTAAGTGTTTATTTCTCACCTTTTACAGGTTTCTATGTCAATAACTGCTGATAGCCGTGGTTGATGTGTTTATTTCTCACCTTTTACAGGTTTCTATGTCAATAACTGCTGATAGCCATGGTTGATGTGTTTATTTCTCACCCTTTACAGCCACCTAAAACTAAAAAGAAGACTTCTTGTCCCTCACACATGCTCTCAATGTGGAACAAGCTGTATAAAGTACGACCAAAGTTTGTTGACAAAGGCACAGTGGAAGTGACACGCCCAAACTTGCAGGGGAAAGAACAGACATGTACTTTAAAACTTCAAAGAAAAAGTCCCAGTAAGCGACAAAGACCTGGTATGTACACTTATCACATCACTGATTTCTCTTCATTTACACAGGGGCCGGTGAGCTAGGTTTCAGTTGAAAGTATGTTTGTTATAGACAGGGGATCACTATATACAAGTGGTCACTAAGACAGCATTGACTAATGACTGCAATCTGTTTGTTATAGACAGGGGATCACTGTATACAAGTGGTCACTAAGACAGCATTGACTAATGACTGCAATGTTTGTTATAGACAGGGGATCACTGTATACAAGTGGTCACGAGGACAGCATTGACTAATAACTGCAGTATATTTGTTATAGACAGGGGATCACTGTATACAAGTGGTCACAAAGACAGCATTGACTAATGACTGCAGTATGTATGTTATAGACAGGGGATCACTGTATACAAGTGGTCACAAAGACAGCATTGACTAATGACTGCAGTATGTATGTTATAGACAGGGGATCACTGTATACAAGTGGTCACTAAGAAAGCATTGACTAATGACTGCAATGTTTGTTATAGACAGGGGATCACTGTATACAAGTGGTCACAAAGACAGCATTGACTAATGACTGCAGTATGTATGTTATAGACAGGGGATCACTGTATACAAGTTGTCACGAAGACAGCATTGACTAATAACTGCAGTATGTTTGTTATAGACAGGGGATCACTGGATACAAGTGGTCACTAAGACATCATTGACTAATGACTGCAGTATGTTTGTTATAGACACGGGATCACTGTATACAAGTGGTCACTAAGACATCATTGACTAGTGACTGCAGTATATTTGTTATAGACAGGGGATCACTGTATACAAGTGGTCACGAAGACAGCATTGACTAATAACTGCAGTATGTTTGTTATAGACAGGGGATCATGGTATGTACACTTATCACATCACTGATTTCTCTTCATTTACACAGGGGCCGGTGAGCTAGGTTTCAGTTGAAAGTATGTTTTTTATAGACAGGGGATCACTATATACAAGTGGTCACTAATACAGCATTGACTAATGACTGCAATATGTTTGTTATAGACAGGGGGTCACTGTATACAAGTGGTCACGAAGACAGCGTTGACTAATAACTGCAGTATATTTGTTATAGACAGGGGATCACTGTATACAAGTTGTCACGAAGACAGCATTGACTAATAACTGCAGTATATTTGTTATAGACAGGGGATCACTGGATACAAGTGGTCACTAAGACATCATTGACTAATGACTGCAGTATGTTTGTTATTGACAGGGGATCACTGAATACAAGTGGTCACTAAGACAGCATTGACTAATGCCTGCAATATGTTTGTTATAGACAGGGGATCACTGTATACAAGTGGTCACGAAGACAGCATTGACTAATAACTGCAGTATGTTTGTTATAGACAGGGGATCACTGTATACAAGTGGTCACTAAGACAGCATTGACTAATGACTGCAGTATGTTTGTTATAGACAGGGGATCACTGTATACAAGTGGTCACTAAGACAGCATTGACTAATGACTGCAGTATGTTTGTTATAGACAGGGAATCACTGTTTACAAGTGGTCACTAAGACAGCATTGACTAATGACTGCAATATGTTTGGTACCTATACTTCATGTTGTCATGTAACAAAAAAAAACAATGAGCAAACTAAAAGGTTATTTCTTAAAAAGTATTATCAAAAATATTATTATAAAGATTATATGTCTTGATCACCTAATACAATCTGATTAAAATCACATGTTACATGGCTTCGTTAACTTCATACTACGCCTGAATGCCGGAGTGTGCCGTGGTCAGGGTCATGTTCATGTTCAGGTGACCTTTATATTGATAAATACTCATTAAATTTTGACCAATCAGAGACCCTCTTTCAAAAGGGCGCTCAGAGTTGTGACAAATATGGCGGACATTGATGAGAATGATGCGAAAGTTCTGAAGTTATTTGAGATTGATCGTCTGAAACCCAAACAGAAAAAGATATTCGAAGATTTATTAAAGAAGAAAGACTGTATGGCGGTGTTCCCTACGCAATTATTATCCAATGGGTATGTTTTCCTTGTGGCGGTGTTGCCTACGCAATTATTACCTGATGGGTACGTTTTCCTTGACGTCGTATAAATGTCGGTTCCCGCCGCCATATTTGTTTTGGAAAACAAATATGTTCGATACCCCTCGCTATTTTTATATCAACCATGATTGGTTCATCTAAAGGTCACTTGAACGTGACCGTGACTGCGGCACATTCAGATGTTCAGGGGGAGCCATGTAACAGATGATTTTAATCGGATTACACCTAATACTGCCATGGTCCAGGTTTTGTGTCAATCTGATTTAAGTTTTGTATCTAAATAAACTCTCTGACTATGGTCCTTAAATTACACGGCACAAGTACAAATGAGACTAAAAAGGTCAGATTAACAATGTTTTGAAACTATTATTTGTTCGTTGATGTGAACACACAGCTCTATGGAAACCTGGTACACTTGTATAATGTTGAATAGGAACCTGTATCAGGAGACACTAGATCTGAATTGTCTGTTTAATGATGCCTAAATATAGCTTTGGGATGAATAAATTGAAAATTTTCTATACAGACATTTTGTTTGAGACAAAGTGTATTCTGCTAGGAAAAAAAATTACTATGAAAAATAAAAATTTCACCTTGTGTGGACATCAAAGAGTAGGTTCTGCTTTCTGTTTACAGTGGACGAGAGTGCTGACACGAGGTCTGACTCAGAGTTGTCGGGGATGTACATATCCAAGTCCCCTTTAAAAGAAGAGTCCAGCAACAGATGTCTGCCAGAAGATGGGCTGTCTGCACTGTCACCCTGCCGCAAACGTGCAAAGATGGACCTGGACTGTAGCCTCACGGAGGAGTCGGAGATAAAAGACTCGGGCAAGGAGGAGGATCAGGAAGTCTTGTCAACTCCAAAGAAGGGGTCCCCTGAGGACAGGAGAAAATTCATGGCCTCTCTGAAGGAAGCTGACACTGTTGTGTCCATTAACACGCTGGCTTCACCAGACCAGGTATCCCCCAGGGACAAGGAAAACTGTCTGCAGTCCCCCAAGAGGAACAAGTTTGCTTTCCTGATGAATAAACGACCAAGGTTTGACATCAATGCCAAAAAAGAATTGAAAAGCAGGTAATGATATTACTTAAAACTGTAAAATGTATTGGGTATTTCTTTGGCAGAATTGAGTTGAAAACCTGTAATCGACTCGATATTTGAACATTTCATTCCTTTATTTGTTTCTTCAAAAAGTTAAAGGGCTTTGATGGATTCTTAGGATGACTTCATAAAACTATAAAATGTCTATAAGACATGATGCCCCCTCGCCAATACAAATAAGTAATGTGGACCTCGACAGACTAAAGCAATCATCCAAAGTATTAACACACCTACATTTGCATAATGTTTGATCTGATATCACTGAATTGGTTGACACATTTCTATAATGCTCACTTTGGCCTTGACCTTGGAAATACAATTGAGGTATTCCATTACTTGACATTTATATATTGTTGTATCAAGACCTGTTCAGAAATGAAGTTTCTATGGGACGTTTCCATGACATTTTTGTGATGGAACCTGAGGCATATATTGATGTTGAATGGCCTGTATGTTGCTGAATGAAGCACAGAGGTAAAACTTCAAGAGCCACAGTCCCTTTATTGGGTACATAATGCCAATATTAGGGTTGTTTAGAAACTGGTAACTCCAATATGATTGTCATAGCATATTGATTGGCTTAGATTAGCATTTCAGCGTTGACTTCTTTAGCACTGCTGATGCTATCAAGATCCCCTTCCTCAGAATGCCATATGGCATCCTTAAAAAATATGCCTTGATAGTTGATAATTCCTCAGGGTCGCCTTAAAAAGAATGTTGGATACAGAAAGAGTTAAAATATACCTGTCAACACCGTTAAGAACAGGTAAGCCTCTTATGTCTCCCCTTCAAATGAAGATTGTATTAGTACTGGTTCTTCTTCTTCTTCTTCTGGTTCTTCTAATCGCAACTTGTCCGGGCCATAACTTTTAAACCGTTTAAGATATCTTGATGAAACTTTAGGTGTGCATGCATCATCCACAGAAGGTGCGTAATGTACTGGAATTAGGTCACTGTGACCTTCACCTCAAGGTCAAAGGACAAATAAGTGCAACATTTTCAGTAAATTCTTGTTTGGCCCGTACATTTTAAACCGTTAAAGATATCTTGATCAAACTTGAAGTATACCTGCATCACTCACAGAAGGTGTGCCGTGCACTGAAATTAGGTTTCGTGCTTCACAATATACAGAGTTATGGCCCTTTGTTTAATTTTAATATCGAAGTTTGTCCAGAACATAAGTTCCATGTTATTTCCCCTACGTTGACCAAACTTGCTATAGTTTTAAAGTATCTTGGGGAATAGGAATGTCGCATTCTAAATTCGGGTCTCGTGACCCACTATATAAAGAGATATGGCCCTTTGTTCATTTTTTATACCGAAGTTTGTCTATTGGCTAATAAGGGGAGACATATGTTTCTGTTCACAAAAACAAAATTCTAGTTTATAGGTTGTTATTTTATGGTATATTTTGCAGGTATTTTGCCTCCAGTTCTGACAAGGACAGCACAACTAGCCAGCCACGGGATGAAAGAGGAAGTGACCTAACAACCAACTCTCCTCAGCAGATTGGCAAGATGGAGCGTAATTCTCAAGTCACAAAAACCAAAGTGACATCACCTGAACCAAAGGTCAAACTCAGGTCACCTGTTAATAAAGCGAAGGTCAGCTCACAAGGCCAAGTAAAAGCTTCACCAGGATCAGTGTTTTCATGGTCAAAGTTCAAATTTTCTAAACAGGCTGAAAACCAATCGCCTAATATAAATTCCCAGTTCAAACAGATTGTAAGTAAACCTAAGAACTCTTTTCAGAAATCATTATCAAGTACAGAGTTGGACTTGTCCAGCAGTGACATTACAATAGTTAAAGATGAGTTTGTGTCTGCTAGTCAACCAAACCCTAGGTGCCATGGTAACAGTTCTCAGAATTCCCAGAATGCTTCATCACGTGTCCCTGGTGACGATTTACAGAGTAGCTGTAACAGTGTGCGTGGCAGCATAGACTCTTTCTGTATGACAGACAGCCAAACATCTCAGGATAAACCACCCTCGCTTCCTTCCCTTCCCTCATGTGTTACCCATAGCGACACTGAAGAGGATGCCAGACAAAGTTCAACAACCTCAGCCTCATTATGTGTATCTCCTGCAGTACCTCGATCTACATTAGGTGGTAAGTAGCAAGTAAAGTCTACCTCAGGTTCCAGACATGTTAAAGTCACAGGGTTAAAATTTGTTAAAATTCCTTCTTCTGAATAAGGAAATATTCCTAAAGTCATGTGTTTCATAACTAACTTGCTAGGAATTTCACAATAAAGGCAATTTATCTTGAGTATCTTCAGGCCCCTTTGGCCTCTTTTTCAAAAACTACCAATTTCTTTCAATGTTGGCCACCAAAGATCCCTCTGGGATCTCTTCATTCAATTGTGTCTTGATTGTATAGGTCATGTTCATTAAAACAAATTTACACAAAATATCATGACTTCATGTATCTACAATAAATGTTCATATTTGAGCGGTAATCTTGTTTTGGCACTTATTTTGCTGAATTATTACTACACTAATTGAAGTTTCTGTATATAGCATTAATTTGCATGTGTTATACGTAGCCTAGCCTAATTCAAGAAATAATGAGCATTCAAATATAAGTACATTTTACACTATCCCTTCTTTACCTTCTGCAATGGTTTTTAACAAGTGAATTAGTTGATCGCTATCTCCAACTTGATTCCTCGTCTCTCATTTTGCAGGTGTAACCAAAAAAGCATGTCGTGTATCTGGATTATCGCGAGGACAGAAAACAACCAAGAGTAAAGTCTCCAGGGCTCCAGACAAAAAGCAGTGCAGTATTAAAGACCTTTTCTCTAAATTCAGCCATACCAGGTACGCAGCAACTCTACATAGTACCGTCCACTCCCAGACAAACACAAGTATACGTTGAAATTTTCAAACAGTACCCGTCCACTCCCACACAAACACAAGTATGCGTTGAAATTTTCAAACAAGAAATTTGGATTTTAGACATTTTCTGAAAAATAATGTATTGTTCCTTGTCAGATTTTGATTATTGGATTACCAAGACAGAATTTATTTCTAGTGCATTTCCTCACCCTAGTAATGTCAGAGTTCCTTACCTTAACCAATACATATGGACAGAAACTTTCTTCTACTGAAGTTTTACATGTACGGACAATGATAAAAATATCCTCAACGTCCATTACCTTGACCAGAAGTTTGTAATGAAATACAAATTAATCAAATAGATCACCATGATTTCAGAGGTCTCTTGACTTGTTCATAATGTCAGACAGCGTTAATAATGACATCATGATGTCTAGAACCAAAAGATTTTTGATGTAATTTTATATGAAACAATTATTATTCAGTAGTTGAAGACATCAATTTTTTGAAAGCAACATTTCACATTGATTCTTTACTTTATAGACCATTTTATTTCTCCTTAGGTCAACACCAAAGTTAAGTCACGCAGAGAAAACTGTGATAAAGGATGAAGAGGAAGGATGGATGACTCCATCCTTAGACAACAAGGTTCTGTCTACTGTGGGAGGAGTACAGAGAAAGCTCCTTGCCTGACCTAAACAATGGACTCAATCCACAGACAAGGTTCTGTCTGCTGTTGGAGGAGTACAGAAAAATCTCCTTACGTGACCTAAACAATGGACTCAATCCACAGACAACAAGGTTCTGTCTGCTGTTGGAGGGGTACAGAGAAAGCTCCTTACGTGACCTAAACAATGGACTCAATCCACAGACAACAAGGTTCTGTCTGCTGTTGGAGGGGTACAGAGAAAGCTCCTTACGTGACCTAAACAATGGACTCAATCCACTGACAAGGCTCTGTGTGCTGTTGGAGGAGTACAGAAAAATCTCCTTACGTGACCTAAACAATGGACTCAATCCACTGACAAGGCTCTGTGTGCTGTTGGAGGAGTACAGAAAAATCTCCTTACGTGACCTAAACAATGGGCTCAATCCACTGACAAGGTTCTGTCTACTGAGGGAGGAGTACAGAGCAATCTCCTTGCCTGACCTAAACAATGGACTCAATCCACTGACAAGGTTCTGTCTGCTGTTGGAGGAGTACAGAAAAATCTCCTTACGTGACCTAAACAATGGGCTCAATCCACTGACAAGGTTCTGTCTACTGAGGGAGGAGAACAGAGAAAGCTCCTTGCCTGACCTAAACAATGGGCTCAATACACAGACAAGGTTCTGTCTACTGAGGGAGGAGTACAGAGTAATCTCCTTACGTGACCTAAACAATGGACTCAATCCACTGACAAGGTTCTGTCTGCTGTTGGAGGAGTACAGAAAAATCTACTTACGTGACCTAAACAATGCACTCAATCCACAGACAAGGTTCTGTCTACTGAGGGAGGAGTACAGAGAAATCTCCTTACGTGACCTAAACAATGGACTCAATCCACAGACATTTTGGTGCTACCTATTGTGGAAGGAGATTAGAGAAAGCTCCCTACCTGACTTATGTGATTTTTAGAAAATTGCCTGAATGATTTCAGATTCAAATTCTTTTTACTGATTTCAGTAGTGCAGAATCAATTGATTAACTTGAAATTTATATAAACTGTGATTATGGAATAAATGATGTACATTTTATTCTTCTAATATTCTTATTGAGCCCACCTGGCACAAATTGCTGGTGAGCTTAATTTATGGTATGGTTCAGCCTCCATAGTCTATCATCTTTCTTGCATGCCTGTAAAAAAAATTGATCGGACATATTATGGTATGGGGAGCATCTGTCCGCCTGGCTGTCTGTCCACAGCTTGAAGTTGATATTGACAAAGTTTCATCAGAATCGAGTCCTATTTGACAAGTTATTGTGCAGAAGGTGTTAATCAATCAAAGCACATTATGCTTGTTAATTATGCATGGATCGAACCTAGCCTCAGCTTCTGTATAATGCAAGTTTCATAAAGATCAAACGATATTAAAGCAGTTTTCTGGTGCAAACTTAAGTTTAGAGAATGACCAATCAGAGCACAATATGCTTATTAATTATCAGCAGATTTTGCTAAACTTTGAACTTGGCCTCAGTCTTCATATAATGTACATGCATACAAAGTTTCATCAAAATTGAATGATATTTAAGCAAGTTATTATTTTTTGCGAAAATTTAAGTGTAGATGGATGCTCCCAATACCATTATATGTCCTGTCAAAACTTTTGACGGGTGTATTGCTTCAAGATAACTTCATTAAACTTAATATGCATACAAATCTAGTAGTTAAGTTGTGTCTTTAGCTGTCATTGAGTTGACATTTTCAATATTTTCAAATTACCACAGAAACAAATACATAAAAGCGGTTCATTGAGGAAAACTTCATCAAGCTTCTAGACCTGACACAATGCTATTTCTTCCATTATTTCAACCATGGTTTGGTTTCACAATACAGGGTCAACCATAGTTTGACATTTTTCATGAAGTGGCCAACATTGGTTACAAACATGGTCAAACCATGCTATTACCATGATCAAACATTGGGTGACAATGCTTTTGAACATTAACCATGGCTAGCTAAGGTGGGTGATTTGATAATGTGTTTTTGTCAGACCCCCTCCATCATTCTGTTCCCCACCCTTGACATTTTGGCAGGGGATCTGAATGACTAAGTCCTTGTTCAATTCATTAGTAGCGAGCAATCCTCAGAATCACAAACTGATTTTGTAAATGTCTGCACTAATAATATTAAATATATATAACATGGAAAAATAAGAGACTAAAAGGTTGTGTTGATAAATTTATTGATAAATCATTCATTAACGAAACACTTATAACCTAACTGAAACATGCTACAAACGGTGAACACAAATCATGTTTATACCCATACCGAGACATAAACGCCGGATAGAGAAACACATCTCATAACCTGACTGAATTATACATGTGGCAAATAGTTAATACAAAGCACAATGTACAGCCTGACTCAAACAGAAGCAACAAATAGCTAACATAGAATAACTATAATGTGAACAAGGAAACAGTTAGGTATCAAGAAACGGGCAATAATGGGACACCATTGATTACCTCCCCTTATCAAAGTGAAGCATATTTTAAAATAAGCATGTTGATTTCCAAACCAAAATATGGAACTATACCAAAATTTGTTAAAAAATATTTGGTTCTGTGTCTTGCAAAGGTAACATAGTCTGGTAGCAAAGGGAGGTTATCCTGATAGCTATAAATGGTGCCAAACTAGTATAACATATATCTTTCTATGAGGTTATTTTACTGTTTAAAAATTCAAGCTACAAAGCATATATAGAATGTGTTAGAATAAAACACAGGTTGTAGCTAACTAAGATGTGTACTGGAGAGAATGACTTCCACAATGTGTACTCTACACATCTATATTCTATTACATCTGTCTATAAAGAAAATAGTCCATGACTTAAAAATGTATCTCTATATATTATATATATGTGTGATGAATGAAATAAGGCAATAACGGCATATACGATGCAAATACAACTTGGTTACACTATGTCACTGACCAATCAGTAAAAGTGATTATACATTCATGGCCTGAAAATACATCACCCTATTTTAACATGTATTGACAATTATAAAACAACAAACAAATAATAGAAAACCTTAGAAACAATATATAACCATGCATGTAAATGTTCAATTCACAGAAATTCTTCTAACACTTGTCAACGACACAGTACTGTAAACATACATATCAAACTAAAAGCCGATTACTAAACTCGTGGACAATAAAAAAAGATATACAGTAACAATGAACATTAAGAATGCCACGGTAGTGGGTGTGTCACCCACTTAATTAGGTGACATAATGGCTTATTGCAATAAACCCATGATGAAGGAATGAAAAGCTGATCAGATTGTAGTAGCCGCATTAAATATTTGCAAATTTCACCTGGCATTGAGCAAGAGGCTTTGATTGGAATAATATGCTAGGCAGTTTCATTGCATTCCAGTTTCTTTCAAAAGATATTATCTCAAAGCCATCACAGACGCCTCATTAAATATCTGAATTTACTTGGACAAGGGACTTTGGTAAGAAGCATACCAGACAATTTTATTTCAAGTGCCATCTTTTCCTGCCAGAAATGGCGAGAAAGCATTATTGCCTGTAAGATTACAGCCGCCTCTTTTATGCTACACAAGTTTTATGACAATCGGATAACTTCTTTAAATATGTTGTTTGGAATAGTTAAGTTTATTACCGATACAGAATCATTAAAGATCCTCTACACTGGACTCAAATATACAGAATCATCCGTGTGAAACCAGAGATACCTGCTGGCAGCCATATTGAGTTTGGGACCAGCTCCATAAATCGCCCTCAAGTGAGGAATTGATAAATTAAGAATTTGTACGAAATCTCAGGAATATTACAGCACTTCTTTAAGAGTATTTTCACAGAAACCATTAAAGGTGCTAAAATCAAAGATGCCAGCGGTTTATTGAGTTTCATACACAGGTTAAATTAGTGTTATTGTAAGTACTTTGTATTCAGTTGCATGTGGACATTTGAGATCTAAAAGGATCAGCCAGTGATTATCCCTATAGGCTGCCTTCTGTCGGCCACACAGATATATGTATACACTCCAGTGTCTGCAGTTTCTCCATTGAGAAAGCCATATTTTAAAAAATGAAATGAAATTTATCACTAATCAATGACTTTGAATATAATGTGTACAGTTGTAGAACATTTACAGTCTGATTACACCAAATTTAAACCACTTTGTTGGACGTACAGTGTAAAAACCTACAGTACCAAGGACATTTCTATTAATTGTCTACAATAACCACATTTATAGTCTGATTACACCAAATTTAAACCACTTTGTTGGACGTACAGTGTAAAAACCTACCGTACCGAGGACATTTCTATTAATTGTCTACAATAACCACATTTACAGTCTGATTACACCAAATTTAAACCACTTTGATGGACGTACAGTGTAAAACCTACAGTACCGAGGACATTTCTATTAATTGTCTACAATAACCACATTTTCAGCAACAGGTTATTTTACATATTTTTGATTCACAGACAAAAAACAAAAAAAGAGAATGCCAGTATTTCCATGTTTCCCTCTATAGCCAGATGCGTGATAAGATTATGTGACCAAATTTTGTCCACATAATACTCATCCCCATCGCCTTTCTATGTTTGGTAGCAGCCATATCCTCCACACATAACTGCAGACATCTGCGATTTTCAAGACGACTGGCATGTAAATACTGCAAACATGTCAGTGCGTTCGTTATGAAGACCTCAGTCTTCAGCTGATTTGGATAAAAAATTACACAATGGTCACACAAGGCTGAAAATACTACCGGATGGTTTTGTTTTTCAGGGTGCCAAGATCACACTGCAACAGGTGTAACATCCACATGGATCCATACGAGGTCCTCTTTGAATCAAAAAAAGTTTACAAGTTGAATTTCTCACTGTTCTGAACTATAATCAAAGTCTTACTATCACATATCATATACTACTGCTACTATCACACATCATATACTACTGCTCCTATCCCACATCATATACTACTGCTACTATCACACATCATAAACCTGATTTTAGTGTCTATAAATGTATGGTTGACGAAGTTCCTCACATTCATATATCAGATGCCATTTATTATTGTAAAACACAAACATGAATATGTATTGTGCTACATGTATAAGACTGCCTTTGTATTACAATAATGTGTGTTCAGCTAATTCCTCTGTTTATATTCAATATTTTATTGAGAATTTATCACTGGAATGCAGTAGACTAGATATATCAACAAATGCTCTCTGAGGTAGAACCCAATATCAGCATACAAACCTGGTACACATGATTGTAATTGTCAATTTAAAATGATGTACAACTTCAAATTTTAAATTTATTTTTATTACAAGAAATTCTTTGACCTCTTGTATCTTATAGGACTCAAGAAACATGAATTCTATAAACACATCACTTTCAGCATTGTGTAGGTAATAAAATTGTTACGGTGCTCTGCCTACATTTGGTGGAGTTCTGCCTTATTCTCACCCATATGACATAGTTTATCACTGTGCTTTATATCTAGATTTGGGTATAATACTACTAACAAATATAACTTGATTACATTATGTCAGAAGTACGAAGGAATATACATGGCCAACTGTAATGTTTAAGATGAAGTGTTAAATGTTTGGACATGTGGAGGAATATTTAAATATACAATGATAGTCTTTGATGCATGAAAGACATAACACTCACTTTACAAACCAGTTTCTATAAATAGAAGGATGTCCTATATGTTTCTATGACACATTTGGTGACCATTCTGATTTATAAATATCTGTATTCATTTGACCTCACAACTTATTTACAATTGTTATATTAAAACATTTACTTCTTAATCCAATAAATGAAGTAAACAAGATCAAGTCTGGTGATGGTGTCTCAGAAATATTATAGCTGTTTATGAGATATCCTAAGTCACTGCTATATGCATCTTCTTTATAAAAGATTCCCACACTTATACATGTCTTAACGTTAATTTGGACATGTTATCACTTATTGACAAATGTGAATGGTACAAAGAAAAATAAGGTAACATTATACAGATCCTGGACTTTGAGAACATTGGGCCATTGCAGCAATTTTTAGTCAATATCAAAATTAAGAGGGGCTATTCTATGTAAAATTAAGAGGGGCTATTCTATGTAAAATTAAAAGAAAATTGGAACATGGAGTGGTCTTTTTTCAGTTTTGAGGGGTCAATGGCATGGCCCCCTTCAGAATTATCCCTGATTTACCCTTATGGTAAGTGGACCAGCATCCCATGCCTGACAATGATCATAAACACCTAATAAAACACTGGCTATAATAATGCCGTGTTTAAAAATATTTCAGAGCAAGCTGTAATATGTTCTTTTATCATAGAAAATTAAACATTAAAAAGTAAAACATGAAACACACACAAAAAAAAGGATTTTTTCTCTCTCTCTCTTAAAAAAAAGGGTAATCCTTTCACCCCTATGTAACTTTAGTAGACTCTACCATGCATTGATCTGGATGAGTCCATTATGGTCTATAGTGGTGATAGGGCTAGTGACAGACTTTCATATTCTTTTATTTTATGCTTTGGTGATCCTGATGTAGAAAAATGAAGGGCATTCTTCAAAACATGTACGGGTCAATGTAGCTAGGTTTGGTCCCTATTACACATCTGCAACAATGGAATATGGAGTTGTTATGGAAACCCACATGATATTCAATTACCACAAGCAGTATCGACAATTGAGCTAAAAACAAAAATATAATAGCTAAAATACAAGACCTGTTAAATCTAATTCATGTACACTGCATTATAAGTCATATTGATTCTTTATGTTACCTCTCACTTCTTGCGCTCACAGAGTATCAATGGCAGGTGCTGAGAGGACGGTTATTATGGTCTCTACCATTACATATTTGATTTGCATGTTTTTGACATCTTCTTAATTTACAGTTAAGTTATTTGGCATGTTGGTATAAAGTCCATCAAAAAGTTTGTTCAAATATATAACCTTGACCCACTTTCAAGATCATGAGGTCAAATGAGCTTCAAAGTTGAAATAAATTATAGATATCTACAGAGGCTAGACATTTTTGTTTGTTTGGATGAAAGTCTAACAATGCCAGAGATACTGGCTGTAACTTTGTTCACACCAAATGTAAGCCATGTACCGGTATAGCTTACTTTATACATCCTGCTGTAAACATAACATCGGTTTAGCACAACATAGCTGATCAAGAAACACTTCAAATGGAATAAAGCAAAGTATTGCATGTAATTCATGGTACCCCACCATTAGACAAACTTTGATATCAAACAAAAATAAATGGCTATAACACTGTGTATAGTGGGGGCACGAGGCCCGATTTCAGTAAACAGTACTCCACCATTCCGAGGGGTACTCAAATACAAAATCAGGTGAGTGTAAGAGATTGACAAAATATAAGTAAAATATAAATGGTATGTCCTTGACAATGTGACAGTGAACAAAGGGCCACAACACTGTAGTGGAGCATGATACCCAACAGTGCTGACACCTCACTATCCAAGGAGATATTCACGTACAAATTTGGGTGAACTGTGGAAAAAGTGATAATTGGTGGAAAGAATGTAAACATATTTATTCCCTCCAATGATACTTGACTTAATCTGAAAGCTGCATATCCAACACAATAAGAATATTGCTCCAGATCAACGTGGAATACAACACAACTAAGTGATGTACAGTTCCACAAGTTAGCAGGTAAATATAATATTTGTCAATACATGCAACAGAGGCATTTCTTGTTGAAAGTTCAGAGGGCAAACACTCTACAGGTGCACACAGTCAACTAATATTTAAGCTATTTATTTTAAGCTATTGAATAAGATGACTAGATTTTCTGTCTTTGGCTCTAAAATCTATTACATACTTTAATAAACTGAATTTGAATGTAAAGCTTTTGGGCAAGTGGAACAAAATAATTCTTTATTGCACTCATACTGACTAAGTAAAACACACACACACTACACACTGTAACTATTACAGCCTACAGTAAAACACAATAATACCTCATTTTGATTTCATGCCTTTCCAAAGTGATACTAATAGTATTCCCTCCTGGCAAGGTGAAAATCTAACTGTATGGTGAATTATCTCCCCTTAGATACATGATACAGTTTGTCTCTCAGTGTTCAGTACAAATGTGATCTGTCTCCCGAGGTTTTTTATCAAGATGACTGACCCCATGACTACACTGGTGCACACATGCTCCAGTGATTTCGTTTTCATATAAAGAACAAAAGAGCTTTAAAAATAACAACTTTCAACAACAAGAGTAACACAATTTCAAGTTTAAAGAAATTGCAATGAAAACAAAACTAGAATGTTAGGTTATATCACCCCCACATCTCTTCATGTTAACTTTTGCTTGTAATAGCTACTGCAAACTGTTGAATTGGACAAAGTTTTATTGAAGTCTATGTTTACTTTAGCAGAAGCTGTCCTGATAAACTTATGTGTACAGACAAACGGACAGACAGACACTCTGATTCCAGTATGCACTCCCTATCTTTGTTGCAGTGAGCATAAAAGAAACGAAAAATATGTAGTTTTAAAAACAGTGACAAGAAAATATGACATGTATTTGATATACAGAAACAAATGTCAATGATAATTTTGTAAAATACTTTTCTTGTATGATGAATAAATGCAAAGCTATGCTAACTACCTATACCACCTGACCAGTGGTTAGAACACAAAGGCTAGGCACCAAGACACTAAACTTAGTATTGGCGAGTACAGGTTACACCAGAAAATGTATGTGGAGGTTGCATAGAAAAAGTGGAAAAATATCAGGCTGATTGGATCAATATCAACACTACGTCTCTCCATGCGTGGAAACTTTCTATTTTCTTTGTCAGTTTCTTCAAAATTGACACTATTTGTGTAGAACTCCTCAAGGAACTGATCTTTTTCGTGGTAGCGGTCATAGAGCCAGCATGTGAAGAGTTGTGTGTTGTGAGTGGGTACCTCCTTTATGGGATAGATGCGGTAATGTACAGAGATGTCGCGTGGTGCCCAGTAACCTATACACATTCCATGGAGGTCGAGCGGCTCGGCCCCGGGGTAGCCTATCGTCATATCTACAATCCATTTAATCCCTGTCGATTTTGACTGATGGTTCACTTCAGGTTCTGTTTCTTCTGTTCAAACAAAAACAAAAACATTTAATTTTTTTCTAAGTGACAGGTTGCAGAGAAAATGGTTTTACACAAGTTTAAAAATACCTGATGAAGATATGTACATGAACTGTGCGTATATATGTTTTTGAAGTATGTATTTATATTCTCATCACTTTAGCTAGGTACTGGACAGAGAACATGTAAACAATGTCAAAACCTTTTATGTCCCGACACAATTGGGGTAGAATGTGGTCTTTGATAACAGGTTCAATATAACATTCATTTCATTTACAAAGTCTTCTGACACTTATGAGACAGATTAGTCGTTCAAAGCAGGTATTACAGAATTAAAATGTTTAGAAACAAATCTTAGGCATGTTTAATTCATTTGATTGTCCAACTCATCAACACATCGGGTCATATCAGGACAAACCGTGTACATACACATCAAATATATATGACCACTGTCATAGGGGAGGGGTCGGAGGCACTTTTTCAGAGAGCCCATCACCCACAGAATCTTTAAAGGTGATTTAAATATATGGAATGGTGGCGAAATCTGGTTTTAAACCTACACCCCACCCCATAAGATATTAATACAAGTGCCTCCCATCTCCCCATATGATAAAATATGGAATAGCCCTTACAAATATTTAATGAAAATATATTTATATCGTTTTATAAATTATATTATATTTCACAGTACAAGCAGTTATTCTAATGTGAGAACTATAAAATGGTATCTGTAGAAAGATTGACTTATACAAGACGTTTTCTCTATTGCCAACCTGTACTTGTCATGAATGTGTCAAAAATCAAAACAGTCAATCATAAAGTGATTGTTGTGAGGGACACAGAATGGTCGGCATTTTCATTCCACAATGTCTCTCTTACTTTTTCTATTACTTTTTCTATAACTAAGTCACATTGGCATTAAGGCATTAAAAAGTGTTCTTTTTGATAAGAGTATAATAAATTCTCCTCAAACAACTCTAGGACTTACACAACTATAAGCCAGGACTTACACAACTATAAGCCAGGACTTACACAACTATGAGCCAGGACTTACCAGCAGCAGGATGATTGTTTTCACACAATGTGTTGATGACGACCTGTATCGCCCCAAGTCTTGGCAACGTCACATGTTGTAACACTGGATAGTCATACTTTTTGGCGAAGCTTTGATAGGAAAATAGATTGAATTAGCCAATATTTCATCATTTTAGAAACTGTGATCAGTTTCACCTTTGACATATTATACCTAGAGAAATAAAATACATCTGCTATGCAAACTTTGTGTATGGTCGGAATGTGGAAAAAAGAAAAAGTCACAGAACAACTTTTAAAACTGACAACAACATTTCAAGTTATGTTATGGAGGAGGGAATGTTAACAATATGTATATATTTTCCCCCTAGAATTATGTATATGAAATGAACTGTTATGTTTCTGTGTCAGGTCACTTACGCTTGACTTCTCTTGCGTCTTTTCCTCAAAAATCCTCCTTCAGGGTATAAAATGATCCATTTTTGAAGAGATTTTTTAAATATTGTCTTCAGATGATTTCCTAGGAGTGAAAGTTGTTCCTCGCGACCTACTTTACCCTACAACAGACAACAACATAGGTCTTCAAAATAACCATTTGTCAGAAAGAATATTGTTTTGAATTCCATTAACACAAACACAAGTAAATTGTGCTTACACTTACAGTTTACATTATCTTGTACTTGATAACAGATCCAATGCACACTTTTAACCACAGCCTGAAACGTGACAATTTCCCCCCATTACATCACCGTCAATAATATAAGAGTTTGAACACGGGCATGATGGCACATTTTTGGTGATGTCTTTATCATTATAATACACATGTGGAAGAAGATATGTAAGTGTTTGGTATGATTTGTTATGTTGTTTGGCGAAGGGATGGGCCTAGGAGTGATAATTGAAATTTCCGATTCTGGTAAGGATTTTAAACCGATTACCCATCACTAATTTGACAAAAAATGTAGGCAGAGCTATCAAGCATAATGCAAAGTCCAGACTGTTATATTCTTAGACCAATACGTGTCACAGATTTGTGGAATAAGAACAAGAATACTTCATGCGGCTAATTTTTTGTTGTCTGATATTCAAAGCCTTGAAAGGTTAACACAAATATTTCAAAATGCTTTTTTAAGAATAATCAGACATTTTACAATTGTATTGCTTACCTATTCTGAGTCCTTAATTTACAGGTTAAATACTTTATTTAAAAAAAAATGAAAATGAACATGACAAAAAAAAATTGTAAAGTAATCAGGCTTCAAAAGGGCCATGCTGTCTAATCCTGATTATTCTTCATTACCCTAAGCTGCATCCTCTTAACCATATCAAGTTTAACTTTACCTCCCCTCTTTCCTAAGTTGTAAGAAAATGTCCTCATGTGCAACGTGTGATGTTGACTTCCTTAAGTAGTGGTTATGTACTTACAGTGTATTGTGATGTTACGATCTAAGTGCTTGTACCAAGGGTCGCTACAATGCTATCAAGTATGTGCCAGTTTGTCAGTCATTTTGTCTATCAATGAAGTACGTTAAAATAAGTGCATGTCTTAGGCCTAAGTAAGAAGGACATTAACACCATCAATAAATCAAAGTTTGAATAATGGGGTCAACGTCCAAGTTAATAGTTTAGGGTCAGCTTTCTATTCCAACAAAATCTAGGGTAGGGAGCCAAAAAACTGATTTCTATTTGGCTTTATACAATGTAACAGTTTTTTATATCCTGAAGTAACACAAACCTGTTGTATAAAGAAGTCTCCATGGAAATGAGAAATCCAACCAAAATTTGTAAATTTAAAAACATAGTCCATAATCCACATCATGTGTCCTGTGGCAAGGCCTTTGGGTTGAAAGCTCGACATGACGACGGGGACGTCCGAGGTGGACTGGTGATTCACCAGCAGAATGGTCTTTGCGTCTAGTATTCCATCCAGCTGGTCCCCTGACTCTATCACTGTATAGAGAAACAACAGTCTTATATTCAGATCTGTCCTCATATTTTGTCAGCAATGGCAACTTTCTGTTTGACCAAAATTATGTGTGGTGGGAGAAATACATATCTAACATGACCCTACCACAATTGGTACAATTTTGACAGTGTTTCAGAGATTTTCAAAACACCAGAGGTTGCATCTGGAATTTTTCTTGATTCTTTACAAAGACTACCCATGGTGGTTTATTTTCAGATAAAGTTTTGATACTAAGTAATTTGTTTTCAAACATGATAAGTACCCAAATTGGTTCACCATAAAACTCGTTTTTATTTCTACTAGCTGATGATGCTAAGGAGTATACAGCCATTCAGGATTAATCGTATCAAAACTCCCAACGGTAAATCTTTGCAACATTTCTACATGTATGAGGTTTGGGATGCTACTATGTTTGTGTACCTAACAAAAGCCGATTCCCCTTAGGTACTGCAGTTGACCTGACCCAGTGTGTATTCATTGTGTAGTTAAGACAAAGTGCACTGTGTATTTTAGGGTTGAGGCTAATTTTAATATTTTCTTTGATCATTGACAATGTTTGTCTGCCGACTAATCCGGAAAGGCTGTAAATACTACAGTAATGAACTACAATTGTATACACTTTTATATAATTTGGTTATTAGGACCAGAAATCAACACTTAATCAAGCATATAGTAAACTAGCTCCTTCAAAATACTCAAAAATATTGTCGACATACATAGTTTTTTTTCTGGTTTTCTGATATGTTTACTTTAAAGTCATTGTGTATTCTTAAAATGTTGCTGAAAGTAAAACTACTTGGTGGAAATGCTGATAAATGTCCCTACTATTATACCACCAGAGGAAAGTACACAAATGCTGATAAATGTCCCTACTATTATACCACCAGAGGAAAATACACCAATGCTGATAAATGTCGATACTATTAAACCACCAGAGGAAAATACACCAATGCTGATAAATGTCCCTACTATTATACCACCAGAGGGAAGTACAC